TCGGACTTGTGCATTCAATTCAAACGAACCCGTACGCACGCAACAATATTAAAAAGATCTGAAAGCTTTCAGATTTTATATTGCTCCCAAAGGGGATTTTTTTTTTCATTTAAACATACGTACGCGTTTCGAAAGCATTTGGGCTAACGCCCCTTTGGCCTAAAAATACCTAAAAACAGCATATCTTTAGAATTTCCAACAGACAATTCCGCGAGCTGGAGATAAAGATATTTTACTCCGTACAGTATGTTGCCACTGCTGGCTTTGAAATCGTTCAACTTCTTAATATAAAATTCGTTAAATTAAAAAAAATATGAAGTAGATAATATAACAAATTCCAAAGTTGGGATGCCCATATTCGAGTAGAGGACTACGTTATTCAAAATTTGATGTCTCTAGGTACCATTGTTTTTTCACATTGCGAGAAACATACATACAATCATGCAGATTCTTGATTATTTATTTTCTTTAAATGTAATTAAAGTATGCAGCGTTGTAATATTTGGTGGCAACAATCTGAAAAGGGAAACGCCATGTATAGTGAACCAACGCAAAATGGCAAAACGAAATTAATAGCCTTTCTGAACTAATAAATAGCTCTTTCGGTTAATAAAACATAGCACACTTTTTATTTGTCATCACGACTCAGAAAAATTCAAGTGAGGTTCGTTCCCACATCATAAATCTGCTACTGCATGAAAATAAGGGCATTTTATAAGGATCTTAAACAGAATTATTTGGACAATTTTTATTATGGGGGTAAATGCCTTTATGGAGGACTTCCTAAGAAAAACTGATAAGTATTCACGCATTAATCATAGGTTAGATTATTTGAATGTGGAAAACCCATGAGCTGGCTGACCCATGAGGAGAGATGCTTTCGTGGAGAACATTATGAGGGAAACTGGCTCGCATTCACTTATTAATCATAGGACATTAAATGTTAACGATAGAGTACTTATGAATCCTGAAAAAGAATGTCGTTCCTCCTATACATCAAATTAGGACTTATTAAGAATTTTGTTAGAGCAATGGATACAAAATTCAAATACTTTGAGAAAAAGGCTATTTAATAAGGTACTATCATGTTACCTTTGAGTCAGATACTTTTCCTTATTTAACTTAATAGGGGGCACCTAATAAGTGGGCCACCTTTGCCTCCTATGAAGGGACGGCTTTTGAACAACGAACTACCTCTGGCATACTTTCGTTATTTCTAGATGCACTTCTTAGTGCTTACCTGTAACTGTAGTTTGTGTTTTTTTTTATAAATTTTTGAAATATAAATGTTCTTTATGTTGTAAATTACGCTTTTTTAAGGAATCACTCCAAAACAACCAATGCCATCTCCGGGATTCGAACCCGGGCTCTTTGGTATCACAGTCAGCTCCCTTATACCAGGGATGGTCAAGCTTCACTACAATAGGAGTGGCATGGTAAATTTCGTGAAACCTCGAGAGCCGCATCTGAATTTTTCAAAAGTTACAAATACATATTAATATTGTTTAAAAAATAAACATTTCAAGTCAATTAATTAGAATTTCCCATTTTTGTGTAATTAATATGGTTTCGTAAAAATGCGGAACTTTATTTATCCTTCTTTGTGATCAGAAACGTGTATCTCGGAAGAATATGTATTGGTCTTTAGAAATACATGTTCTAAAATATTTTTCATGAGTGAAGAGTCACTCATTTTAAAAAACAAATTTATTGCTTTTTCTTAAATTTTGACTCCTACGTAGTGTTTAGAGAAAGTAAAATAAATGATACAGAAAAGCGCACATATCAGAGAAACTGTTATTCGAGAAATAAAAATTATTTTAGAATTAGCTGTTAACGTTTTTAGACTTTTGCGTGAAAATTAATATTTTTATTTTCCCTCACAATTAACAAAACAATGCGATCAAATCTGACTTTAAATAACAGAATTAATTCATTAGATGCGAACTGGATTATAAGTCACATTTTTCTTTTTCTCAAGGTTGATACTTTCGAAACCTCATATTTCTCGAATCTTCAGAAGGAATTTTGATTCTAAACCTCTAATCTTAGAACTGTTTTCGTCATTCAAATCTTTTGAACCCCAACCTAAAAAATTGTTAAACTTTTTAATCCAAAACTTTGGAAATGATTTGTCGTACTGATGCCCTGTAAGTAAGAATTCACTAAAAAGAAAAAAATGATTCAATTTATGCCGGCATTTCATTTCATTTATGCCGGCATTGAGCGCTGCATTGTTTCATTATAATTTCTAGCGACGTTTGCCAGAATTTTTAAATAATCTATACTTTGGGCATCACTGAAAATTTTCGAAACTATCTCTCGAATCGTATCGATAATTCTGAACATAGAAAACATACTACTAATAAATTTAGTAATTCATATCGTAATATATAAATATTCCATCTGTATACTAGTTGAACTCTTCAGCAATGGCTGTTGAATCTGAGCTGTTTTCAAACACAGCCAAATCAAAATTAGTGATACAGAAATAAAATATTCTTATAACTACTGTAAAGAATTTATTTCACAAATACATATATAAAATGAAAGTTGAGTTCTCAAAATTTCTACAGACATGCACAAAAATGTCGGATTTGAAAATCATTTGCAACATGGCAGATGTCTGCACGCTCGTTTAGTTCCCCAGTTGTAGCCAAACAGACACAGGCATCCACCCTGTTCTGATTGTAAACTACCAAACATACAATGACAGTCAGATGACGTATCCCATCTCCACCCAAGTATGGGCATCTGGAAGCCCAAATTTGGAATTTTATTATCTATTTCATATTTTCTAAAGCATTTATGAGTTTTTGATTAAGAAACTCAACGATTTTAAAGCGAGCAATGGCAACACTGTACGAAAAGGCAACACTGTACGAAAATAAAATATTTTTATCACCAGCGCGCGAGACTGTGTATCGGAAATTCTAAAGATATGCTCTTCCAAGTATTTGGGGATATTGCTGTTGAATTGAATTTTATGGTTTAATTGCGAAGAACATGATATCTAATAAATAAAGGTAACGCATAAAACGTTAAAATAGGCCCTTTTAGGCGTAATATAAAATCTGAAAGCTTTCAGATTTTTTATTTTATTTTGCTAAGCTAGTGGTGTTGCGATTTATAGAAATTTAACGCGCATAGCAGATTTTGTACCAACAGAATTTACTGTTAAGCAGTGTAAGATAATACAGGATTCAGTAGCAGGCAACATTTGTATGGTTGATGCATCCGTATACTATATTCATCCACCTGGTAATTCAAGACATCTGAAGATGTTCTTGAAATATTGTGAGGCTATTTTATAGATCGATAAAGCGTTTACTCTAGATACTATACTAATATCACTATCGAAGATTTCAGTGTAGACGTCAAACGAAATTAAAAGATATTTGAATTTAGGAAGTCATTTTAATCTCTATATGGTACCAAGTAACTATCCCAGCATATTTGGCAATTCATTTATAGGTTTAACATTTATTAGGAATATAACTGCAGACATTTTAAATTATGCACTTTATTTCTCATATTATCAACCAGTTTTACGTAGGTCATTTTGAATGAATAAATTTAATAAGTAAAAAAATGCAATAAGATATATGTGTGCGTAAACAGCTTTTTTCTGTTTTATTTGTTCTATAACATCCTCACACTTCCGTTAGTAATCCTACGCATTAAACGCCAGGGCCTTTTTAAACTAAAAGAGAAATCCCGCCGTCAGTTTTTTTTCAATGCACTGATATTTCTGTATACATACTCATGAAAATTTTAATTATGTATTCATAAATAACAGAAAAATTCGAATTACATATTTGAATTCAGCCAATGAAATGCTGTGAAATCTTCACATTTTCGTTCGAAGGGGAAGTCAAAAATTTTTACTGCATTATTTGTGAATTAAAGCTAAATAATAGTGTTTGGTAATATCGAAAAATATATTTTACACTTACAGTGCAATGTACGACTGTTATGCACTGCACAAATTTTGAATAAACTTGCATATTGTTTTATAATTATTATATAAGATTCAAATTTTTAATAATACTGCTTGTTATTACTATATGCTTTTGATTTTTTATCTCTGTTTCTACTGTATCTATAGGAGAAGAATTAGTAGGCATCTTATTTAAATTAACACTTCTTCTATTTATAAATATTCTATTGATCTTTGATTTACAAATGTAATTTTACTTTTATATTCCAAGCTAACCTGTATTTCTCTTTCATACTCTTTTTCGTCTGTTATGGCAAATTCAATTTTAGTGTTAATATAACGTTTTCATTTTCATTTAAGGTAGATAAATCATCTTCTAATAGATCAAATTTAATATTATCCGATTCTAGTATTTGCCTTTCTAGTTTAAAGATCAGCCTGATAAATTAATGCTTTTATCATTCCTCACTTCTTTTTTAGTGCTTTTAACTTATCCATCTTAATAATCTATGTTCAATCACTAATCGAACAATAATAATTACTTTAATCTATCTAAAGATTACTGTTATTCCGGAACTTCGACCCCATTTTTGTGTTTTATTGTTTCTAATTTGTATTTTCTTATTTTTATATCCCCATTTAACGATATTTTATAAGCAAACTTTTTTGCGTACCTTTCCTTGAAGAAATTGACAGAATACTTGGAATTTTTTTGCCATTTTATCATATTGAAAATTTTATTTACAGCTATTTACAATTCGTTTTACTTACAGAATAACATTTGTCTTATTTTTCTATCGTTGCTACTATATCTCAATCAAAAAATCCGCAAAGCGGTAAGAAAAAAGTAATAAACATAAAATAAAAAAGCTGCCTCCGTCTTGGCCAGTAGCACGAAACTGTAACATATACTTATCTTTTCAATGCCTGAAAACTGTTCTATTTCAGTTTGTTAGAGAGCATTTTGAAATGTATTGGGAGCGTTTTTTGTTAAGATAATTATCAATAATATAGCATTTTAAATATCTTGTCTTGTTTTCGAAAGTACAGATACAAGAACTTATATAAGTAAAAATATTTTATTATAACATATAAGAAAGATTAACAAGGGTATTTTAATATTTTACCCATATTGCATTGTTATATTGATCTTTATTGCACAAATCTTTGAATACAGATGTCAACATATATAATTTGGAAGATTTTTACACATTTCATTTCATTCTGCTTCTAAAAAAACAAAATTATAATTCAAACAAAATTTTACCATTTTCTTGCATTATATTTGTTTATCTATTTAGGATTAAATTTTTCTGTTACGATGTGTCGAAAATTCACCTGAGATTTCATTGCATTTATTTCTAAAAGAATGCAAATGAGGAAGCCATTTAGAAAATTACAAAACAGTAATTATGTAAATTTAATAAATTTTAACTGAGTCATTCCTACAATTTGAGCTGAGGTTATTGTAGTTTGTATTTTATTTTACATATTTTGCGTTTTACTTTTTTCGTATTATTTCTGGGATTTGATATAATAAAATAGTTATTTACGTTATTTGTACAGCTAGCAGTTTCCTTTTCTCCAGGATAATTCCTGTAGGATAATTTCATTTTCCTTTTTTATTTTTTAAACTGTATGTGTAATATTATTACTAATTAACGTATATTTCTATTTACAGAACTATTTTTTGAAATTTTATGCAATTTTAATATCTTCGTTGTTAGCTTTCAAATTAAAAGTTAATTAAAATACTAAAATTTTCGTGCAGTTCGTACTTTGTAAAATGTACTTTATTTTAAATTTGACGTTGACTTTTTAAAAATTATTACTAATATATATTGCACAAGACCTTTTTTCCCCCACTTAAAATTTAAGTCTAAAGATGAATTTTAGTTCTTTTAAAATTATTACAGCGTTTTACATTTGCATTTCATCAAAAATATTATTTATTTTTTTTTCAGAAATTCTTTTATACAGAAGATATTTTTTCTACAAAATTTTGTTAATACACTAAGAATATAGTATTATATTTATGTATGAAGTTCTTGCATAGATTTCGTTGAAGACGGTATAAATTTCTTTCCGATTTTTCATCCGCAGTGGAATAGTAATTTTGCAATTTCGAATTACATCTGTTAAATTTCAATTTGGAATTTATACTCTTTTCCCCGTTTAATTTTACTTGAATTTTTGTCACGTAACTGGTTATGAAACACGTTATATTCTTTTTGAATAAAATATAAAATTCATCTTCTCTCACTTGAGTAAACAAGTTATAAAATCTCTCCCCCAGTATAATCATATGCAGTTTTTCTTTTCCTTTTTAAAATCAAACCGTGTATTCTTCTATGAGATAGTCTCGCTGCAAATACTGCTGCAGTATATTTTATTTTAGAACAAGGTTTTTCAAATTTCACTTTTTCTTTTATCTGCTGCCATCTGGATTCTATGCATACAAATGATTAGAAAGAACCAGTTTCTATACTAAAGTCTTTATCCAGAAGTTTATCTCACACACAGGATGTAGCGTATACGAATTGGTCCATAGTACGTTTGTAACGGACTCGAAGGTCATAGTGTGTTTTCGGACAGATAGCAATACGGCTTTCCAACAATATCGACATCTCTCGCCTCGAGATCATTCAGGATTTCCACTAAGTGATCTGTGCATTCCCATGGGTTATCTGTAAAAAGAGAAAGAAAAAAAGTCAGCATTCATAGCGTAAATTTCCCGTATTTGTGTAACTAATTACCTGTAATATTCCTTGTGGATATAGCTATCTTACTTACTATTACATAAAATATAATTCTTCAGGTAAAGAGTATTCCAATAAGAATGATAGTATTTTAAAACGAAATACCAACCATATTTAAAACATTATCATCAATTGTGTTTTGTGCTTAATGTGTTCTGATAGTTTATGGCTAAATAGATTCTTCAAGAACATTTGTTATTAACCAAAATTTTTATGAAAATAAAGGTTCTTCAGTGAATACTCAACGTGCACTTCGCAAAAACTATGGTTTCCATAATATCCCTTGCATTCGCTAGAGATCGCTCTATGGTGTGGTTTATGGCATAGTGACATCACCGAACCACCCCCCCCCGAAAAAAAAACGAGGGAGGGGATGCAGTTACAGTGACTAGGGAACGATATCGATTAAAGATAACAAATTTATTGTGGCCAAATTTGGAGAGCATGTGGTTCCAACTAGACAGTGCCACATATTACACTGCTAATGCCACTGTCGACGTACTGTGAAGGGGGAAAAAAACTTGATTAAAGGATAATTTCACGAAATGAAACTGCTAATTGGCTTCCCAGAAACTGTGATTTAACGCCTTTGGGTTACTTTTTGTGGGGTTATTTGAAATCAGTGGTCTATATAAACAAACGACGAATAAATACTGAACGCTAGATTCGTGACATTAGGCCCGAGTTATTGCATAAAATCATCGAAAATCGAAAAAAATATAAAAAGTTTGGTTGTATCTGAGATAGTTTTTATTTTGTTTCAGTTTAAAATCGTATCATTCTTATCGAAAAACTCTTTATATATAGCTAACTATTAAAAACAGAAAAATAAAAGCTACACTGTTGGAAACTGCATGCATATTTTTCCAATCGCCCTTCCCTCCAAACATAAATATCAACAGCCTGTTCTTAACCGGAAGTCTCTCTGATAACATTAGCAGACGATAAACACATATTATGTGTGCTGTGTGCATTAGACACTAGCCAAGGGATGGCTCATGCACCATATATTGCCCGCCAGTATTGTTATTTATCGCCGGTAGTAAATTCAGTTAATTTCATTGTTAGACTTAAAGGAATAGGCACTTTTCTTCGCATATTGGACGTATCTTCAACATGTCCGATTCACTTACATTTAATCAAGCTTTACACGCCTTCAACTTTCCAGTATAGTAAGGAAATTGCGAAACGATTCATAATTTATCAAAATCCACAGCTTGTAAAAGTTCCATTATGCCAAGAAAATCAATTTAAAATGAATTTGCAAGACACATACTTTACTCCAATTTCTAGTGTGGGCAATTTTTTGAAAGGGATTATTATGCATATCATGTAGAAAAGTTAATTTTAGAACTTAATAAACGATTTCAAAATGCTTTAAGCATTTAAAGCTAAATGCAGTATAGAGTGCCAACTAAAGGACTGTTTCTAGTGCTCTCTTTCCTGAATCCTGTAGCACCTTTCTGTGATGCCCTTTACCTTGCTGCGTTATGCACGCGATTATTTTACTTAATGGTTAATATAGCTCTGCAAAGCACACGACGGTTATTTGCCTATTGGAAGGGATGCCTTCTTGGAAAATTTTCTGAGGAAAACTGGCTCGTTGAAAATAGAAAAACTCGAAAACCAGCCCATTCACCTGGGATCATATCCGTGTTGCATTCCGAGACTTAAGCAGTCTTGAACATTAGACGTCTCGTGGGGCATTTATTGGAAAAGGTTTCCGTATAAATGAAATTGCGCAGTTATGCGTAAGCCGTTCAAGAGTGAAAATGCACTACACTTTTTCAATCAAAATTTGCTTTTTAATATATAGAATAACTCTTCAGTGAGTATATATTTTCAAGAGTATTACTTCCAAGTGAACTGAAATTTGTGGTAAAAATAACATTATATAAATCTTGTACAACCTTATTAAATTTTGAACTTGTGTGTAAAGATTGTTTAAACAGGGAATGAATTTCATTTGCAGAATGAGCTTTGTGTTAAAAATAAAGAAAAATACATTTAAAGTAAATTTATTCATTCCATCGTGATACAGCGAATATTTATTTTTCGTAATACTGTAAAAAAAATATATTTTAGCAGCAAAGAACGTTGCTAAGTAAAAGTAATTGAAATCGTGTCAACAATTTATGGTAGGATAAAAGTGCGAAGCATGAATGAAAATTCTTAGAATCCAAAAGCACATAATCTTATTTTAAAAAGATGACAATTTGATTATATATACTGCATTTTATGTTCATATGTTTTCGCTGCATTTTTCTGTTACACGCTTAAAGAGTGGATAAAATCGCGGAACATAGCTACCATGAATCAGGCTGTATTCCGTTCATTGATGTTAATATCAGTGGGGTTCTCAACTTTTTTTGCTCCATGCAGACTTTTTACCACTGCTAAACGATCATCTTCCACACTCCTTTTCAAAAAATGAAAAATACATGTATATCTATTTATATTTAGATATTTTTAATGCGTTTTATAAGGTGTTTCCACCGTACTTTCTGCATGTCATCGTGGTGTAACGGTAGCACATTCGGCGCGTATTTGAGAGGTCCAGGTTAGAGTTCGGCGGCTGCATTGCTATTTTTCATGTTTCCTGCTTCAAAATAATCTAATATTTTTACAGTGGCGCCCGAACTAAAAGGTGGTGGAGGATGATTCTTCACCACCAGAACTTGGATATTGGGTCCTCTAATCCCCAGTTTTCCTTTAAAAGGGGAGGTAATATATAAGGTATTTTCTCCCGCCTTTCTGCATGCCTTCGTGGTGTAATGCTAGCACACTCGGCGCGTATTCGAGAAGTCCAGGTTCGAGTCCTGGCGAGGACATTGTACATTTTTCATATCTCCTGTTTAAAAACAAAACCTAATGACTGTACAGTTTTATAAATTAAACAAATAAAAGCATGAAAAATGTTGATAAATACTAAAACTTGAATAAAAGTCGTTTTTTATATTCCTAAATTAAAAATAAATACTTAACATCTAAATAAAAGGCTGACCGCATACCCCTCTTGAATCTATAAAATTCAAGGGGGAATGTTCCCCGATTGAGAAACTCTGATAACGCCAGTACATTTTTTGATAATATAGCATTATTTAAATGACCAATTCGAATTATAGTCGTGCTTCATCAAACTGCGTTTAGATATGCTGTTGTTATTTCTTAAAGCAAGTTATAACGAATAGAAAGTCCATTCTTCGAATATTATAAATTTTAAAAGTCTTAAATTATTTAAATTAAAAACTTTAATTATATCTATCGGAAAAAAGAAAAGGAAATACATATTTCAGTGCATTTTTATCAATGTCTTAAATCATAAATTTTCTTATATTCAATAATTCTGATATTCTGATCGACTAAAGGAAATTGGCTGAATTTTTCAAAAGGTATTTACAAGCATCAGCACAACATAAATGCTTTGACAAAACTGCGATATATTTCATCTTGATATTCATATAGAGAAATAAATAAGCAATTTTTCTATTTTATGCATATTTCATACAGAGGAAAGCCGATAACTAGTTATGTTTTCTCTATCCTTATTGCATGTTAAAGGTTTTACGGGACCTAAAAATTTAACTATATGCAAATTTAGAAATTTACCTTGTAATATCCAGCTTAAACAAAATACTGCCAAGAAACATTGTTAAATTTCTTCTGATAATCGAAAAGCAATCATTGAGTTCCTTTTTTTAAAAAAAAAAATTTTTTTTGATTTCCTGATTTCTTTTTCTCTTGAATTTATTGGGTTGGCAAGAGTTTCGGTTTGCACACATAGGTAGCGTTATGTTCGTTTTGTCACTCTTCTACCAAGCTTATAACTTTTTTTCTTTTGAGATTCGGCAGATGATATTTTTAAGTTACTATAAAAACAAATTCTATGTATATTCTCAATTTTTAATTTACGGTCAATTTTAACATGGGGTGCAGGGAAAAAAAAATTTAGATATGATTTACTTTTTTTATTTTCATAAAGGCAAGAAAGAGTCTAAAGGCTCACAAACCGATATGTGAAGTTTATGGTGATGATTGCCTAACAGAACGTGCGTGTCATAATTGGTTTAAAATTTTTCATTCAGGACCTCTTTAAGGTTACCAAAGTTTTGGCAGACCTTCTGACGTTGATGATGGCAAAATTAAACCATAATTTAATCGAATCGTCATATAACCGTGGGAGAGATTGCAAAAAGGTTAAATGTATCACACACAGGAATTGAAAATCACATATCTTGGACTCGTTAAGAAGCTCGATATTTGCGTCTCGCATGAGTTGAAAGAAGTTCACGTAACACAACGAATCAGTATTTGCGAAACGCATTTCAAACGTAATGCAATGGAGTCTTTTTTGAAACGAATTGATGAAAAACGGATAACGGATCGTCTACCACAGCATTTATCGGAAAAGATCATCGTCCAGACAGGATGAATCAGCACAAATCGTAAGCTAAATTGCATCAGAAAACAAAACATGTTGTCAGTTTGGTGGGATTACAAAGAGTGTTCCTTATTTTGAGCTGCTTGCAAGCAACGAAACGATCAACTCACATTTACTGCCAACAACTTATGAAATTGGAAGAAACAATGAAAGAGAAAAGGCTAGAATTGCCAAATCTCAAAGGAATCGTGTTCCACCATGAGAATGCGAGGCCTCGCCGATCTTTAGCAACACGTACGAAATCATTGGTACTTGCTTTGCGAAGTTATTATCTTAAGTGACGAAGTCACGCAGTCAGGTTCCTGGAACACTTTCCTATCCTGTGTTTAACAACGTAAGATGGTGTGCCATATCTTTGAATTTGCTTAGCATATCATGAAGTTATGTCAGGGGAAGTTATGTCGCATTCCCCATATAGCTCCGATCTTGCACCATCAAATTACCTTTTATTTCTAGCTTACAAATGTTATTACCTAAATTACAAATG